TCCAGAGTGTCCCTTTACCCAAGCTTTTTGGGAATCAATGGAGGCGTTGGATTGGAATCCTCATGCCTTAGGTCAAAACTCCATTTATGAGCCATGGGTGTGTTATGGGCACCAAGATAAGAGCTTTACGTGATGAATCAGTCTAGGGAGGCCAGATCTATAGATTGTGGAAGCAGATCTGACCTTAGAAGCAAGTTGGAGTGGTTGCATGGCATGGACTCGCCGAGTCTGTTCATCAGACTCGGCGAGTAGTTTGAAGATTGCCTTGGGATTGCTCAGTGAGTGGTCCAATCGAGTCATGGGTAGACTCAGTGAGTCAGGGTGAGTTGGAGAGGGATGACGAGTGGACTGAGTCAAACTGGGACTCGCCGAGTTGTTCTTGAGACTCGCGAGTTGAGTCGGGGTGGCCCCGCGATTCTTTCAGGTGAAACTCGTCGAGTAAGGGGGGGATACTCGACGTGTAGTAAGGGGATTTCAGAGGGTTGGTGAAAACGTCTAGACTCGCCGAGTCGCCGTAGCACTCGCCGAGTCCGGTCAAGTTGACCGTTGACCAGAGTTGACCTGTGTTGACTTCTTAGGGATAGTCAACCTTAGAGATATAAAGTGTTAATTAGAGACATATAATGTTATAGGAGGATTAGAGCTCGGAGGATCGAGCACGAGGGATTTCCAGGATTCGTGAGATACCGAGATACGCGAGGTGAGTCTTCTCACTATACTATTACCTTGAGTAGGTAACCAGAGTTATGTGATAGAGTATTTGTATGCTATGTATGTTATGTGTTGTACTGCATTATTTCTATGTGATTTATTTGGTGCATGTTTATCAGAGCTAGAACCTGAGGGTTCACAGAGTTTGGGTGTACGGACCCACAGAGTTATAGCCTCGAGTGGCTAATATGTGTTATATGTAGTATTTTGGGGAACTCACTAAGCTTTGTGCTTACATTGTTTGATGTTATTGTTTCAGGTACTAGTGACGACTGCGGGAAGGCGCCGGCTTGATCCGTACACACACACTCGGAGTTTTTATATTGTGATCTTGGGATTTTGTATTGACCTATATTGGATAATTAATATGGTTGTTTGATGAATATTAATCGAATTATGTTTTATAAGAAAATTGAAAATTTTGTTTTGAATTTTACGGTGTTACAATTTGTAGGATCTGTTCGCCACCCAAGGTGAGTCTTCTCACTATAATTATCTGTGTTATAAGTTGTGTATGACCAGAGGGTCTTAGTATATTATTGACCAGAGGGTTTCAGTACATATAGACCGGAGGGTCTTAGTACACTATCGACCAGAGGGTCTTATTTGTTTATTATGTGTTATGTGTTATCGTGCATAATGTCTTTGTGACTTATGTTGTTATGGTAATATGTGTATATATTGATCTTATGTGTTTATTAGAGTACAACGATATCCTGCATTATGTCTACGTGAATTATGTTGTGTATTTATTATGAGCTTATAGAGTTAGGACCGGAGGGTCCATTAACTGGAGGGTCCCACTGAGACACATTGATCGGAGCGTCTACAGAGTTATAGCCTCGAGTGGCTAATATGTATTTGTGGTATTTTGGGGAACTCACTAAGCTTCGTGCTTACCGTGTTGTGTGTTATGTGTTTCAGGTGTTTCTCAGGGTCACGGGAAGGCGACGGTTCGATTGTACACACGTGATAAAGAGTTATCTTTTGGAGGATCCTGGATTATTAATTTAACTATTATGGAATTATGTTTTGTTAATTGATTATTGGGATTTTTGTGGAATGTATTATGAGAATTTTTGTAGTTTAACATGAATTTTTTTTTTGAAAAATCACGGTGTTACACTCTCTATCTCTTCCTTCCGTCGAACACTAGGCTAGAGCCTCAATACTTATATCTTTATATTCGATCACAAGCAAACGAAAATAAGACAATGAGGGTGTTTGGAATTTCATTGAAAAACAACTTATCGACTTTTTGAAAAAAAGGTGTTTGACAATATGAAAAAGACTATTAAAATAATTTTTCATCAACCCTTCAAAAAAGAGATTTCAGTAAGCTAGGATTTCTAACTTTTCAAAACACCTTATGACTTTTTGGATTGTAAAAGACAAATATTGCTTAAAACATGTATAAGCTAATACAAACACTTTTTGAAAAACAACTTATACACTTATTGACTTTTTCTATCACAAATCTAATCCAAACACTTTTTTAAAAATCTCATTTTCTCACAATCATAAGTCAATAAGTCAATAAGTCCTTTACCTAAAATTCATTTTGAGGATTAAGATGATATCTTAACACTACTAGAATATAGGCCTTTAATGACACGCAAATCATGACACTCAATGATTTACGATACGCAAAAACGTGTGTTCTAAAAATAATATCATCTCTTCTAAAATTTAAAGGATTTAGAACATGCATTTTTGTGTGCCCTTAAAATTAGTGTACGAACAAAAAAAAATTAAAAACACGGAAGACACTCAGCATAAAAGGCGTATCATCTAAGCATGTCGTTTTATAAAATTTTCATCAAACATGCGTTCTCCATCTTTAACAGATGAGGGGGAAATCAAATCCCAAAAAATTAAAACCCCCACCTTGTTTCTCATCTCCTACCAGCGGAAAGCCCCATTTCCTTTCCTTGACCTAATTTATCAAGCTCTGCAAATTCTATGGCTACTTTAAAATCTATAGTTGAATCGGATCCAACCATACCTTTGCCCAAAATTCTTTAGATATGGTGTGCCTCCAGCTTTTATCTTCACATATGGCCCATCTTCACATAATCAACAAAGATACTAGGGCTTTGAACTAGACCTCACAAAAGCCTTGGTGCTCACAGCAGCTTCTCCCGCTTACTATGCGTCTCTATTTCTTCCTCTCACACCGGCGATTTAGGGCCATCCCTATTTCATATCTTCTGGTTGCTAGAGCCTGGAAGTTATTAAAGAAACACAAAATCATCGTATTCTTATCCTCTTCATGTTCTCTTCCGCCGACCACCCTAAGCCGGTCAAAAAAACCCTCTGTTAGAAACCCTAAGTCGTCGCCGCCTTAATTAGTTCATCCATCGCCCACCAGGCGTGTTCTTCTCCAGCATCAAGCAGCACCAACCATGCATTCTGTTACTCCATATACAAATTCTTTTTCCTCCAACCCTCTTGCCGACCACCCCTTCTCCTCCCCCTTGCCGGTACTCTTCTAGCCCTTTTTTTTTCTTTTTGAAAGCAGATGTATGTTTGGTGAAAGAAACATTACCTTTATGCAGAAATCAGTTGTTGAATGTTTATATATAGATATGTGTATATCGTTTGCTCCATTTCATGTTCTTTTCTACATTTGGCACAGATGTTGATAAGTTTTCTCAGGTCCAAGTACTCGCTTCCCGAATGTCCCTTTCCTTGCCGCCAAACCACTAGCTTGCTCGCATTCTAGAAACGGTAGCTTCCGTGCCCTTCCTGCCTACTGAAATGGATGTGAATGATCGTGACAGGATGAAAGCACCCTCACTATTAGAGAGATAGTAGGCAGTAGACATAACATAACCCTAGATGCCAAGAGGAGTGGGCAAGGTTGGACCGGGTGTAAAGGATGAGACTAAGGGAGGTTGACTGGGGAATTTCTTCCAAAAGAATAATAAGGAGTTGTTTAAGCGTATTTTAAAATGTGTTTCCGGGCTCACCTATCTAAATTTCAGCGAGATAGGGTGCGGATAGGTGGTGAAAATATTTTAAGCTAATTATTTTGGCTTAATTCTATGCAAAACATCTCATTTATGGTGCAAAACACCCCAGTTGGAAGAACAAGAGTTTCAGAATCTAAACAGGTTATGGAAAGTATCTGTAACCTCTCAAGATCTTCGGATGATTGGCAATATATGGGGATCGACTGTCTTCTGTTACTTCTTCATGTCAGGTAAGACCTACGTATCTCACATTCTCTGACTTTTGTGTTATTACATGTGTGTAATTGGTCATTTGGAAATATAGTTCGTCTTTTCTATCAAAAATATCAAATGAATTCGCCAAAAGGAAGAGATTTTCATTTTTGATGGTTAGATGAACCAAGATTGAACATAAACACTGAAATCATTTCTGAAACTTCCAAAGCATAGTAATCAAAACTAAATAACCAATTATAAGAATCAATACCAAATAAACTAAATAAAACTTGAGAAAACGCCATACACTATTACATACCTGACTACCTATGTTTGACATCGGAAGTCAAGGGTAGATATGATTTTTATTTAGAATAAAATGTCTAAAACAGAACAATATATCATGCAGGCAATTTTGTATTCGAACTTTTTGCACGGTTATATACCATTTTAGAAGATCCTGTAATCAAAAAAGATGGAGATACTAAAATAAAAATATACACACAGTTAACCATAATGGTGGGCCACTTTGTATATGTTTCGACAACTTAGTCCCCACAAAGCTTTTCATCCAAAAATGGTAAAAAGCTAAATCTCACAATGCTATGCTCTAAGTGTAACGTGTAAGCTTTTTGACAGCAACAAAGCAACAAGGACAGAAAACTCAGGAGAGGAAAGGAAGAACTAGTAAAATACAGGCACAAGCAAGTATAATTGGCTACATATAATCTATCAAATTTATGTTTTTTTTTTTTGTGTTTTTATCATTTTTATTTTGTTTTTCGTGTTTCCATGAAGTTCTTGAATACCATGTATGTACAAATTCAATCTACCTTCTGAATCACCAGGTTTTCTATCTTTTTTCTCTTAACAGTCAAGTATAATTTTTATATTTACTGTTCTAATGCTTTGATTTTGATTTGGATGAAACCTATGTTGACAAAAAGTTATATGTATAGATTTTGGTAAAAGATTAACTTAACGCCCAATATCTGTTGAAACTGGAGTCATTGCTCAGGTAAAAACCTTTTCAAATTCTTTTTTATTTAATAAAAACACTTAGTTTATCTTCTTAATGAGCTTAATTAATGACAGGCATATGGTTCCGCAAGAGTGAAGATGGGTAAAACTGAAGTCATACCTTTGACTTGTCGTCTCAACTTGTTGACCATATCAAACATCACTGCTGGCAACAAGGAGCAGATTCAGGTCATAATTTGAAATTTTCATCAAGATTTAAACATCAAACATTATTTTCTTGACTGATATATCTACTTTATGATTTTTACAGACATTCAATGAAGCAAATATCATTGGTCCTCTTATTCATCTGCTTCAAAATGAAGAATTTGACATCAAAAAGGAGGTTGCATCAGCTATCTCAAATGCTACTTCTGGTGGAAGCCATGACCAAATCAAGTGGGATTCATAAACTTAAATTTTCATTATAATTTGTTTAGTATTTACAACATCTCAAAAGCTATATATTTATTGATGATAAAATGGTGGATGCAGATATTTGGTAAGTGAGGGATGTATTAAGCCTTTGTGTGATTTACTGATATGTCCAGACCCAAGAATATTGACAGTTTGTTTAGTGGGGCTCGAGAATATATTAAAAGTTAGTGAAGCAGAAAAGAATTTGGGAAGATCAGGGGATGTGAATCTTTATGCACAGATGATTGATGATGGAGAAGGGTTGGAGAAGATTGAGAATTTACAGAGTCATGATAACAGTGAGATTTATGAGAAAGCAGTGAAGCTTCTTGAGACTTACTGGTTGGAGGAAGTGGATGATGCCATTCCACTTGGCGATGCAGCCGCAACTCAGCCTCCTGCTGGTTTCCATTTTGGAGGTGGTGATGTTTCCGTTCCTTCTGGTGGATTCAACTTTAACTAAGGTAGGTAATAATAATATGTGTTCTTTTGAATACCTTTGGAATGGAATGACTGATTCCGTCGGAATTGAAAAAACATCATGTTTGGTTTGAATTTCATTCCATGAGGGAGGGGTGTTTTTTTTAATACATTGAAGGAAAGGAATGATAATGTTATACTTATAAATTAGTTTTATTTGTATTATCTATTTTTTCTTCAATAAGAAAAATCTTTTTATATTTTTTCTTAAGTTTCAATCAAATCAATCTTTTTCCTAATTAACGTCAAAACAATTATTTAATTATGTTATGTTAAGATTTTATGGTATATAGTTTTTTTATAAACATTTAAGAGCTTTTTTATTTGCTATTTGAAATAACATATACAGTATATAATAAAATGGTTCATTCCATTGGAATGAAAAATAAGTTTTTTTTCTTGATGGAATGGAATTTGATCTTTTTTTTATAGAAGGTAATGCTTTCCATTTTGTTAAGTTGGGGGTGATTCTTTTATTCCATTAGTTTTTTAATATTTTTGAACTTTTTTTTATTATTTATTTATTGATTTACAATATTATTTTCTGAAAATAACTAGATATTAATTCTATCTAGGTTGTAATCAGCTTTTGTTATGTTTGTACTTTGTTGATAGCACTCTAAATTAGGAAGACCAAGTTGTTTAACCCCTGACAAAGGAAACGTTTCCGTATACATCGATTGCAGTCCCATAGCAGCACCACAATACAAGGTTCAAATGACCGTTTTACCCTCACAAAATCTTTCAAAACATGTTTTTGTATGGCAGGAGCTGGAATCAATCTTTCATCTTTGTCAATTGTGGATGGGAGAGTGTGTTGGGATTTATATATTGATGGTCTTGCGATAAATATAGATGGGAATATACTCGTAAACTCAAAACATTTGTTGTTATTATAAGTCCATATCTGTGTGTTTAAATGCAAGAAATAGCAACCAACTTTAATTAATTTATTTATTATTTGGAAAATTATTCTTAATGCAGGCTTCTAGTTTTGGTTCAAATGGATGTTCTTCGATTGTTTCTTCATTCGAAACACCGTGTCCCCAAAACCCTTCAGGAAAGTCTAATCTTCCAGGGTAGATGTCTTTGTTTCCACAACAGATCTAGATAAAGAACCACCTAATGCCCAATTTCATACAGGTAATGGCCAATGGGATGAGTATTTTTTCCAATGTGAAGTTAAATCCCTTTTCATATACTAAAATTACGATAATGTCGTTTTTCTTAGGGCATGTACAAATTACGGCTGGAATATTGGAAAGAGTTAGATTTGTATCGTTAGCTCTACTTGGTCATGTCATTTGGTGAAGAAAACTTCTATTTTGGGGTCATCCACCCATCTTAGGTCTATGGGTGGTCAAACTTGTAATCATTGCTTTGTTTGCTGCATTATCATTGGCCAACATTGTAAGTTTTTTTTATTCAAATATTCTTAATCTGTTTTCAAATAATTTTTCAATTCACACCTCTCTAATATTTTTCAATTTTTCATCTTAATTACTTATAAGGTATTATGTACAAGGATTCAACCTGGTTGAGAGCAACAAATAGTTCTGCTGCCTCGAGACTCATATCTTCAGGTATGATAAGCTTCTGATACAACTATTTATAAAAATTTGAGCTTATGTGGTAATATGTCAACAGTTAAAACATTTTAAAAATATCATTTCTTTTGCAAGGTTATTTTAATAATGTCTCAGAGTATCTCAGAATTGGTCCGCCTCTATATTTTGTTGTGAAAAAATATAATTACAGATATACTTTTCTTTTCTTCTTAATGCACGCTTCTGGTGAAGTTCATTTCAACTTGTAATGTAGACTAAAAGGTTTTTTTTTTTTTTTTTCACATTAAGTTTTTCTGTTTTCTCAGTTCAATCAGAATCAAGACATACAAACCAATTGTGCTCCATCAATCATTGTGATGCAAACTCCCTTTTGAATGAGGTATGAAAGTGTTAATTACTTGGGGAACCGTTTGGTTGGATTGAATGGAATTATAATGAAAGGGGTAACAGAATGAGTTGTTAATTCTATTCTGAATATTAATGTGTTGATTATGAAAATAGGTATCATGTGGAAACAGAAGCATAAAAATGAGAAGTAGAAACAAGGTGTCCCTTAGCAATGTAGTATTAGGTTATATAGTTAGGGAAAACCTCTTAATAACAATGTACAATCAGATCCCCTTAATACTAATGTATTACAATTTTTGGACATGATGTTATTGGATGAAATTGATTATTTTGATTTATATTTGTTTCCACATTTTTGTCTTATACGTAAATGACTATCTTAAAGACGCGTCGTAAATGTATTCCGTAAATGGTTGTTGAAGTTTATGACACGCAAATACGTGTCATCTTTATTTATGACAGGGGCTTTAATGATACGCAATGCGTGTCGTCTTCCTTTACGACACGCAAATGCGTGTAGTTTTCCTTTATGACAGGGTCTTCCTTGATACGCATTGTGTATCGTAAATGTGCGTCGTAAATGCGCGTCGTCTCTCTTTATGACTGGGCCTTCCTTGGCGCGCATTTGTGCGTCGTCTGAGCCTTTTACGATGCGCAATGAGCGTCGTAAAAGGCTGTTTTTCTAGTAGTGTAAACACCCTCGAAGAATATGGAAGAATTCCTTGTGAGCGTGTGTATTTTTTCTGATTGAATAGAAGATATTGAGTCTTACAAATTATGTGTGTTTGTGTTCGATCTCACCCCTTTTTACTTTTGATTTCTTAAATTGCATGTGAATGGGAATATAGATAGTGGTTGTTGGCGGTGTGCAAAATATAAACGAGGTAAAGATGATGGGAACTATCGTGTGAAGGTGATGAACTGATGGTGTGAATATGGCGTTGAAAGGTTTGGTCGGTTCTAATGGTGTGTGAATATGGTCCCAATGGGGATACAAGGGAGATCGATGGTGTAGGTTGGGTGATGATGGTGGTAGTGGTTATATGGCTATGGTGGTGAAGATTTGAAAGGTTCTTTTATCCATACCAAACTTCTAAAATTCGAGATCCAAAGTCAGTGTTGATCTTATTATCCCCTCCCAGTCCAAAGTCACCTACATGTGTTATATTGAAGATCTAGGTTTCGATTTAGAGCATGAATTTTTTTTTTCCATCTTTTGATTTATGTGCAAGAAATCGATGATATGTGTTCGATTTAGGGCTAAAATATTAGGTGGCATTTTTTTTTGGTTTTCAACTTCTGATTTCTGGGTTGGCGTCAAATATTTCTAGCTTACTTTGTTTCTCTAAATATCTTTTTGAGGTATGAGATCATTTTTTCTGCTTCGGTTTGAAGGAGGGATGGTAATGGTAATGAGAGATACAAATGGAATTGATGATGACGATGATGAGCAGATGGTGAGTGAGGAGGAAGACTTTATACAATTATTTTCAAGGTATGTGAATTTGATTTGTGATCTTGATTTTTATTTGGCAAAATATGAATTTGGAAGTGAATTTGATTTTGATTTTGATTTGCGATGTTGTTTCTAGTTACACAATATCTTTATATATATATATATATATATATATATATATATATATATATATATATATATATATATATATATATATATATATTCATTTGATATTGTATTTGTTCTTTTACCTACGATTTTGGTATTAGATTTTGATATTGTATAGCTACACAATTTTGTGCTTTCTGATTTGTAATTCATGTATTTTATTTTGTTTCGGTAGTGGTGGGAGGTGGAGTGTGGGTTGGAGTTAGATGAATGTTGGCGGTGGTGGTAGTGGGTGGCGGATAGGTTGGAGGAAGAGGGTGGGAGGTTGGATATGGAATGAAGGCGATGGATGCGATGTTGAGTATGTTTCATCTACAAACTTTTGGTAAGATCCATATCGGCTTGGTCAAAGTCCATGTAAGCTACACTTTACCGGATGACCACTTCAACTTTCGTAAAATGGTTTTTTGACATAGAATTTTATACTTTAATGGCTTAGAATGCACAAAAAATAGTTTGGTGAGCAAATTAAAAGCATAAGTTTGTAGGGTTTTGATTACAATAACTTATTTTTGTTATTTGTGTAAGACTATAAGTCGTAAAATTATATCTTTTTGAAAATCCTAAAATGAAATATTTTCTTTCGTTGCTATATAAATATGCAAAACAACGCATGATAATAATTTTGATAACATAAGGTGCATTCATACGAACCATTTTAAGATGTAGTCGCACAACATCTTAATTATTTAATGGGATCCCTTATTTAATCACCAAATACACAAACACAAAGGCCTTGGAATTACATGCATATGAGTATATGATCACTATTAACAAGTCTTGAACTACTGACGGGGTTTGAGATTTACATGTAGTGGTTCTTTCTTCTGCATTGGTAAATCCAAAACCTCGTCCATGTTAATGTCTTCAGGATTCATGTTGTTGAGAAGCAACCAGTCAAAGTTTAAAATCAAAGAGGCCACGGCTAGGAGTATTGTCTTGGAAGCCAATGGTTCTCCAGGGCACATTCTTCTCCCAGCACCAAATGGAAGGTATTCGAAGTCTTTAACTTTGGAATTCAACTCCGATCCCATAAATCTTTTAGGTTTGAAGCTCAAAGGGTCCTCCCAGATCTTGGGATCACGACTTATTGCCCAGACGTTAACCAGTATTTGACTATCTTTTGGAATAGTGTATCCCATCACCTCACATGTTTCGATAGCTCTATGAGGCAGAAGAAGTGGTGCTGGGGGGTGTAATCTTAATGTTTCCTTGAAGCATGCTTCAAGAAAGGGTAGATGAACCAAATCTGACTCTTTGACTACATTCCTATCAATCGTTCTCAGGACTTCATCCCTAGCCTTTTGCATTACTTCTTGGTTTCTGAGAAGCTCCGCAACAAACCACTCGGTGGTAGAAACTATAGAATCTGTTCCAGCCGAAAATAACTCCTGAGAATTAACCAAATGAAAAGTTATAAAAGACTTAGTTTTAACTTCAATATTTAAGAGAGAAAGAGAAGAAAAACCTCCATCAAAGCATTGATTTGTTGATGTGTAAAGCCTCTTTCAATCAAAATATCAGTGAAGTCTTTTTGACCCGAGGAAATATGACTTCCGTTTCTTTTCCTTTCGAGGATATCCTTCCAAATATCTCCTAATTCGTGTTCTATGATCTGCATGACCTTCTTCTTCCAGCCTTGTGGATCCCATCGACCAAATATAGGACAGAAGTCTGCTAATTGTGGCTGTGTACGCAACAAAGCAAGTCTTCTTACAGTGTCCTTAATCCCTGCACCTATACCATTGCCTTCGAAGTCCATAACATCCATGGATAATGTTGTATTGCTCATGATGTTAGTGGCAGTAACAACCATGACATCCTTAATACTTATGTTCTCACCACCTTTTGAACGTATGTAATTCACCATCTCCAAAACTTTCGTCTCTCTGATGTGTGCACGAGATACCATAGCTTTGCTTGAAAAAATGTTTGATATGTAGATGTTCCGAATTTTCCTCCAGTCATCACCGCTTTCCGATGTAAAAACAAGACTCATATTGTGAAAAGATGATTCCTTTCCTTGCAGCGATCTTGTTACCTCTCGACCAGAAAGCGCATTATCATGGCTCTTGAGAATCTCCGAAGCCGCAGCAGGTGATGATCCGACTACGAAAATTAGTTGACCAATACGGAATGACATGAGTTGTCCGTGCACTTTGGCCATCTCAGCGAGATGGATATGAGCGTTCTTTCCCATTTGGAAAAGGTTGCCTACGATTGGCCATGGATATGGACCTGGTGGAAGTGGGTGCTTTTTCGAAGATCTTGTTATGCTAAAGAAGAAGAAGAAGAAGATAAGGAGTGAGCAAGGAATCAAGAACAAGATCATCTCTCCGATTCTAACTCTTGCTCGATTAATTCAGCGTGTTCTTTCTTCCAACTAAAAGTCCTGGAAAGTTATGCTTAGAAGACTGTATCGAATAGGAAGCTATGAGTCACTGATAAGAGATCGGGCCGGGAGTATTGTTTCTTTTTTGCTCGTAAATACAAGAAGAGCTTTGATTAATTTCAGTTGTTTGTATAAAGAGTATTTAACAAGAAGAAGTCCACTAAGATGATAGATGAGTAATATTGACACTTGATATTGAAATATAAATGGTTATTTATTTTTTAATTTTTATTTTTAGGATTTTTCTAGGACTGGTAATGAAACGGGTTTTGATCCTGATCCGATCTAAACCCTTAAGAATTATATGGATTTGGAGCATAGTTTTTGATTCGTTTACCCGTTAACGACCCATACTCACTAATCCTTTTATTAAAAGGATCGGGTATGGATCATCACTGATCCGCTTTGTTTATAACCCGCCCCATATAAATTTTGAATTATTGATTTATATTTTATATTGCTTAAAGTTTATTTTTAACTCCAATCAAAAGTCCAACGGGAAAATGCCAAAGTCCAAACTATTTATACATAAGAATCAAGGAGTTGACTTTTAGACTTTCAGTCTTGTACTAAGAATTATGATGTCATTTCATTTATATTTCATCAAGCAATTATCATATTTCATTCATAAATCAATAAATTCATTCATCAACCGAAAGAAAGTTTATTATTGCTATTTTCTATCACTACAATTAACAGTAAAAAATAAATCAGAAGTTACTACAATAGTGATTTTTAATTCCAATAAGAAGTCCTCAAGTACGTAATGTGTTTTCTAAATCAACATTTGTTTTATTTAAGAAATATTATTTTATGAATTAATTAAAATGTGTTTGAGAATTCAAAAAGTCTATGGGTTATGGGGCGGGTTTGGATATCCGTTGATTCGGTGGATAAGGGTATGGATTTGATTATTCAAAACCTTGCGGGTTACGGAGTGGGTTTGGATCGGATTTTGAAATTTGTTAAAAGGGTTTGGATCAAGGTCGATTCACTCCAAACCCGCCCCATTGCCAGGTCTAGATTTTTCTATTTAAACCTATTTTTTTTCCAGTTATCTTAATGTGATACAACTTTTTTGTCCGATTTATTTTATTTTTTGAGAAAATACTATCACATTTGACAAACCTTATTATTTGAACCAACTCAGGGAGGACGCAGGAATTAGTAGTAGGGATTGCAAATTTTTTTTTTCTCGTCACACATAATATAAAACATTCAAAAAAATTCCGGTCAAACATAATATAAAACATCTAATACAATTTTTTTTTTCTGGTTAAACATAATATAACAACGATCTATTAGAATTTAAATTTGTCCTGTTCGTGCAGACATCTTTTGAAATCACACCATTATTTTTTCATTCTCAACTTTCGCAAGTGCTGCGGTCTCAACATTACAAAGCAATGCGTCGTTCAAAAATTCATCGTCAATTTTGTTACACAAGTTGGTCTTCAAGACCTTCATCTTTGAAAAACATCTTTTTACACTTGCGGTCGCTACGGATAATATCAAAGCCAATTTTAATAGCTTATAAACCAAATAATAAGAATGACGATTTCACCTAATCAAACAATAAGTTCAATAAAACATATCAATTTCACCAAATCAAACAATCAATTCAATAAAAAAACATAGCAATATAACCTAAGCAAACAATATAACTTCAACAAAACAAATCAATTTCACCCAAGTCAATCAATAATTTCAAAATAAACATATCAATTTCAAATATCTAAATGAATTGGTAAAACTTACTTGTTTCATTGTAGTGTAGAGCTTTGAAGTGGATTTTGTTAACCAAAACAGTAGAAATTGAAAGAAGAGAGAACTTGATTGATACTTGCTTCAAGAGATTGAGTGATTGACTATTGTTGAAATCGATCAAGGATTGTGATCGATCCAACAATGAAATCGATCAAGCCCCAAGGATTGTGAGGTCAAGAGTCAATGAATGTCGACAGTAGCCATCGCATGATCGCACATCGAATGAATTTTGGATGCAGAAGCCAGGAAGTCGAGTAGTCGTGCGTGAGTCGTCTAGTCGATAATCGTGTTTTTTTTATGCCTTGTACCGATCAACAATTACACACTCAATTAATTATAATTAGCCTATTTTTTTTACAAGCAATTAGCCTAATTGCTAATTTATCCAATTAAGTTTTATTTTGGGCTTTAGGCAATTGGATTATTAAACAATAACTAAATAAAACATTTGGCTTGTTATTATTTTTTTTCTTTTGGTAATTCCCGAAAGAGTGACAATATTTTTTTATGTAGTTGCACAATTTTTTTAGTAGTTGCACGAATTTTTTTACGTAGTGGCACAATAGGTAAAAGTTTTAAAAAAAAAATAAAATTTTTTCTACTATGTGCGCAAAAGCAAGATGTTGCCGGTGCCACACCGGGCACCAAGCTAGGACCGCCTCTGAACCAACTTCTTTTGTATTATCATAATTATCATGTTTGTTGCTTATAATGTGGTTGATGGTTTTTAAGATTATAATCTATAAGAAGCATCAGATTGTTTTCCAAACAAAAAAAATGTTTAACCTGATTTTTTGTTGCAAATACATATCAAAATCTATTTAGATGATTCTTACATATTACCTCCATTCAAAAATTGCTTGTAATCTAATTAAGATTGTTTTCTCATTCTAATAGAAAGAGAATAGTCACTACTAGAAATGTTGGCATTACCGGCGATTTCTTTAGCGGCAACGCCGGACAATATCGGCAACATGTAATTGACGCGTTACATGTCGCCGCTATTACCCAATCTTATTGTACGTAAGTGAATACCATTCTATGTGTGAAGTTATGTTTTCCTTTAGAAATATTTACGTGCTTTTTGTTTTTTGGAAAAAAAAAACTTCTTCAGACCTCTTATTGCTGTGCAGCGCAGTGCAACACTTTTCATCTCGCAGCGCAGTACACGCGCAACACTTTTCAACACGCGCAACACTTTTCACCTCTGCGCGTGCTCTGTTTGGCGCAACACTTGTACTGCCTCTTCCAACCTCTTCCAGCCTTTTTTTTTCTTGCTGAATTTTTTATTATATGTTGAAATTTTATTTCACTTTTTTTTTTCGTTTTTTTGTTTATTCTTTTTGAATTTTTTTTGTTTTTTTTAAATATTGAATAATGATAATTTTTGATGAAATATCATTATTTTTTTACTAAATATCTTTGTTTTTTTGTTGAAATATCATTATTTTTTACTGAACTATCGTTAATTCTTGCCGAAATGTTATACATTATTAAAATTTCCGTATTAAAAAACTATTTTTGATTTATAAAATTAGTTTATTTTATTTTTTTAATATCTGCAGAAGTATGCAAATGTTCAAAAAACAAACACGCTTCTTATTACAGTCTGCAGCAGTTTGGTCCACATCTTCTACTGCAGAGGGTTATAGAGGTGGTCCGCAGACTTCATGAATTTTTGTTTCAGAAAATCAAACAACACCTTACACTCTTAGGGTATGTTTGGGTTAGCTTTTTTAAGTGAAAAATGATTTTTAAGAAAAGTGCTTATTAGCTTATGATTTTTAGAAAAAGCTGGTTTTAAAAAGTGTTTGAATACGAAAAGCTGTTTTTTCAGGAGTAAAATGGTTAAAAAGCTAAAAATGTAGGATTTTCCAGCTTTTTGAAAACTTTATTTTTTCCTATCTAAAAAAACTGTTTTAAAAAACACTTTTTAAATAGAAAAATACTTTTTTTTAGCTTATTAGCTTTTTAAAAAGCTAAAAAACTAATAAGTTTTTTTTTTTTTAAAGTTATCCCAAACACCCACTTAATAGTGTTTTTGAACCATAATAATCTTATTAATTTCTTTTAAGACTCATTTTTTCGATATTGATACTTATATCAATATAATGGAGGTTTTTTTTTTTTTTTTTTTAAACGGAAAATAAATTATTCCTAAACTATTTTTTAAAGTCACTTATGTTTACAACGAGACTTGAACCTTCAATCTTAAAAAGGAAGGACAACACTAATACTTAATATGAATTATAACAGATGAACAACAATATTTAATACCGATCTAATTTTAGATTATTTTTATAATAAAACAAAACAAAATGTTTGGAAATATAACCTCAACTTTCATGTGTTCTTTGTGATAATTGCTTTGGTTTTTTTTTCTTCCAAAAATAATAAAATAATAATAATAAAGAAAAATTAATAAAAGAAATCTCTAATTGATTTTTTAACCTTTTCGTTTAATTATCTCATATTTCTCATGTTTCCTACTTATAATGTTCATGATGGTCCTTTATTAAGATTATAATCCAAAAGAGACATTAGATTGTTTTTCGAACAAATTTCTTGCAAATACATATCAAAATCTATTTTTATGATTCTTGCATACTGTAACGATTAAAAAACAATATTCAACACAAGCTTGACATCTAAGTATATTGTTTTTGCATTCATATAGAAAGACAGTCGCTAAACACCAATTTATATTTGGAATCATGTTTTACTCACTACAAATATTTTCGATTTCAAGAATGATTTTATCCTTAATAATCCCATTAGATTCTTTTAATACTTATTTTTTTTTTCAATCAATAGTCATATCAACAAAAGTCAAGCTAATAAAGAATGTACCCAGTGAAGAGCAATATTTAAAATGCAATTTCAATCCCAAGAATGATTTGATTCTTAATAATCGCATCATATTCCTTGAAGAACTAATTTTTTCTTATCAATTTCTAGGCATTTGCATTCTTATTGATTTTCAAATTAACATACACAAAACCTTTAGTTAGAAAATTTGAAACATTCATTCTCAAAATTAA